AAAAACTAGAGTTATATGACCATCGAAGAGGACTCCCAAGCTATCATCCATATTGCACTACTTACCAATGTCAAATCTCACTCGACTATTATTTCTATCATTCATTCATGATCTCAAACACCTACCAACAGAATATCAATGCTCCGTTTGGTAGGGAAGATGGAAAGTAGGAGAGATAAATTTTTTATCCTTCAATGATGGAAAGTAGGAAGGATACACTTTTCTTCTTTTGTGTTTGGTTGGATGGATGAAAAATAAAAATGACTATTTTTTTTTTGCTGGCTAAAATTAAGGGTGACAATTGAGTCGAGCTGAGTCTTGTCGTGTCAGATTCGTGTTGAGTCAAAAATTTTCACCCTTAGTTAAGATGAAAAAAATATTTTTTTTTTAATTTAAAATTTTAATTTTTAATTTTTAATTATAAATACATATTTTATAATTGTATTTTTTTATGAAATTAATGTATACATAATATATGTATATATAAAAAAAAATATAGACAAATAAGATACATATCAACACAAATAATTAACTTTTCATCTATTTTCTTTCCGATTTTGGAGGGATTGATTTTGGTGAATTAGAAAAAAAAGTGAATTCATCCACTTTTTCATCATTCCTATTTTTCTTCTTTACTAAACATAATATTTTATTTATCCTTCTATTTTTTCATCGTATCAAACAAAACATAAATTATGGGGAGAGTTATGGAACATGTTTATCTGTCAACCACTGGCTGGGATAAGGTCAACTATAGTAGCTGTGAAAGCCATCTCAAGTAGAGACATCAATATTAATTTTGTCATCCTAGCACCTTAATAATAATGAAATCATAGAAAATTAAAACATGAAAATAAACACTAGCAAATTTATATGATTTTTAAGGGATGACAGTCAATGACATCTTATATAGATTAGAAAGAATTGAGCTACGAATTGAAAATGCAAACAATTACTCTATGAATTACATACAATTGTGCCTCTAGAATAAGGATAAAAATCAACGACTCCAAAATTCAACGAACGCAGGCGTAAAAACAGTTACTCGATGTCATGTCTGCTAGAAGATAATAGTAAACTTGCCTCTAATCGAAATTACCTAAAAAAAATTGTGTAGGAAAATGTATGCAGTTTACATAAAATATATAAAATGAAGTTTGCCCAATATACAATTCCGAGGATTCATTTTTCAATTGGCATGGTGGAAAGCAAACGTATGTGATAGCTATTTAAATAAAGAATACAGAAGATCCTTGCCAAATCTCAATACAAATATTAAATTTGTGTCGTGGACAAGTTTATTCTGTTTTATACAGAAGAAAGAGAATTGAAATTTTCTATGAAAAAAAGTTGTGTTTATTATTGTATTCGGCATGAATTACAAACAAAGTAGGTTGAGTTATGAAATACAAACGAATTAAAGTACGTATACTATGATCTCTTTCGTTTTGTTTTTGCTAAACAAAACACCAATCTTTGCTCCACGGGAGTGATTCATAGTAAATGTCCACTAATTTAAGTCGATGTTGAGGATAGTTTTGATTTACTCTCTTTTAGGTTTCTGGGTGGTTGTTTCGACTTTTTCAAAAAAGCCTTCGTCCTCCTATTCAACGAGTTATTAGAGAAACAGTTTCGTCTCTTGAACACCTGCTATGGAAATATAGGTCCTTGAGGCGAGCTGAATTTATTCATCGGGTTCTCTCTCGATTGACACTCTGCTCGGGATCAGCATTGTTATCATAAGAAGGCTGTTTTTATAATAAGGGTAAGTTTTTTATGCACCAAACCTTATATTAAATTAACTGCAGTAGTTTGGATCAGTGATGAGATCTATCGATTCCACAGCTATAAATGATTTGGTCCAAGTTGCATTGCTCTCATGACAAAAGTATACAAGTGCACAAAAAAGGGAGGTGGAAGTAATTAAATGGAATACATGATATGCACAACGTTGACTTCAAAATTGTTGAGACAAAACTTTGTTAAATTGTATATGATATGTACAAAATTTGAACTAATTTTAACAAAAAAATAACTTACCCAATTTAAACACCTCATATGACATGATTCATTACCCGTCTTTTCACGAAATAAAATTGATTATAGAAAAGATAACAGTGCATGAGTTTATGGGACAAATCTACCTAATAAATTAATTATGTATGAATACATTCAGCTTTAGCACGTATGACTCACACGATTTAAGCACTTAATATGATATGACTCATTATTAATTTTCCACGATGTATTATAGCACAGGCCGTGACTATGTTTTTCCGTTGGCTGAGGCGGCCAATATTGATTTATAACTCTTTACATGCAACAGAATTCAGATGATGGTATGGGACTTGAACGTTGATGGTATGGGACTTGAATATCTATCTTCCTACTTTTGTGTAAGAAACTAAAAGTTCATTTGAGTAAGTGCCACATCTTTCCTAGCAAAGTCATTTATAATGGATTTTTTTTTAACGGTTAAAGATGTTTAAGTTAACTTATGTATATTTGAATAATTTTCTCTTCAATTCGGTCAAAGATAAATTATTTACGCCGAAATTAGGATATTTATAAGAAATAAATCCCTTATAACCTGATCTCAAAAAATTGTCAAGATTCAAACTTAGGACCAGAGACAGAGGTAAGATTTTGTCTCAGTGGAGACAAGATATTGAAAAATAAATTTGTTTAATTAGATTCCAGTTTAAGAGTTCACCATTAAGTTTGTAACAAATGAGATAATGGACTACACAAAATCAAAATATAAACCATAAATCCAAAATATAATCCAAACTAAAATTTCAAGAAATCAACTAAAGTAATTTAATCTTAGGGAAGAAAAATAGCACTAATCAAGAATCTCAAATAGCCAATTTGAAAATGGGTTTTAACAAAAGTCTAAAATAATTAAGTGGCGACCCAAGACAAAACAAAAAAACCCTACATAAGTCCATAAATAATATACCAAACAACCATCAGTTCTACAAGAGTTAAACTAATTTTCTAATATAAAAAATTTGATTTAGATTTGTGCTAATACTACTATCAAAAAATTTAGTTAATAGATTACCTCTTCTTAGTTTCAACATAATCTTCTAAGGTTTCTTCAAATTTAATTTGTACAATGATTGAATCCAATAGGGTGATTTGTTGATGAATATACTCAAGGAACTAACAAATAAACTACATAAAAGAAAGAGGGTTGCCGGCTGGAGGCATGTATTGGATTGAAAGTCTAGACAAAGAAAACGAAGGCTTACCAAAAAAAAAAAAGCAGGCGTGAAAAGGAGTTGCCAAAAATTAGTTTTTAAGGGTTTAAAATTATATCAATATACTCTGTACTTTAAGAAAATTTTAGTGGGGTAAATTTGAAAAATTCTTGAAATTTTTAAAATTACACTTAAGTACCAAAATTTTTTAAAATTTTAGTTGGGCAATTGCCAAGCGTGAAAAATGAGGAGAAACTTCCAATAGTTAGTTTCTAAGGGTTGAAAATTATATTAATATATCCTAAACTTTAAGAAAATCTCAATGGAGGCAAGTTTAAGAAATTCTTTAAAATTTTTAAAATTACACCTAAGTCCCAAAATTTTTTAAAATTTCAGTGGGGGCAGCTGACCCCACTGCCTCCATATTAAATCCGCCACCGCTTAGGACGTCTTATAATTTATTTTTGTTATCACTTCGATTATCCTCAAAGTTTTTATAATGCTTTTAGTACCTGTAGAGTGGAATGTTTCCACACCAACATTAAGAATGCAATCCAAACTCAGAAGGACCCTAAAACGCCAGCATACATATGCAGATAACCTTTAATATATATAATAATTTTGTATTTGACCAACAATATAGCTTCAGTAAATTGAGTGGAACCCGGTTCTTAAAAAAAAATTTAGTTTAATAATGGAATAAGAGTTAGGGTCATGCTCTGACTATAGTTGTTCTTAGGGAATGCTTTTAAAGTAGGCGTGTAACTTGGACGGATTGAGCGAGTTAATAAGTCAATTTTAGCCTAACCCTAACTCTAACTTTAACCCTACCTCAACTCAAGGTGCTCAATTTGAGTACTGCCCGAGTTTAATTCGGGTGGGCTCGGGTTGAATTCGAGTTATTTAATTCGGCCTGATTTCAGGTTAAAAATCAGGTTTGACTTGAGTTACTTCATTTAGGTTGATTTTTTGAAGTATAGATTTAATTTTTTTGAAGTGTAGATCTAATTTTTTTCAAGTGATCTGAGATAAAGGGCAAGACGCTGATGAAGAAAAAGGGAGTGAGAGAAGGAGGAGCGACGAGTGAGAGAGGGAGGTTGATAGTTTAAGACGAGTCAAAAGAGTGACGTTGAGAAAGCGAGAAATGATGAGTGAGAGAGGGATCTAAGAAGGATGAAAGCATAGGAGTAAAGACTTGAAATGAAGTGAAGTGAAAGTCTGGACTCTAAATATTGAAGATAAATAATCATAGTTAAATATATTTATATATTTATGTATATTCGGATTGATCCTGACAACCCTACACTTGTCTAAATTCAACTCGAGTTGGAGTTTTTTTTGTCCAGACTCAACTTAAGTATTAAAAATTCTAACCGAAGACCTATTTTTTTTTTATTGGACTTGGATTAAATTCGAGTTAACCCGTCTAAATTACACGCCTATTATAAAGCTCTCTGTCTAGACCCCCTCTATCGAGTGGGTTCGGGTTATTATGGTCATAATTAGATAGGATTTCCATTTTGGTCCTCTTTTGCAATTTTTTTTTACTTAGCAAAAACAAAAAGAATATGAGAAAAGATATTCATCAATTAATTAAGTTTAGTAAATATATTCTAAATTTTATTTAATAAAATGTTTTCGAAATTTGTAATAATTTGTGGTTAAAAAAATAATGTTAGTAAATTATTAATTGTAGAGTGCACAATGCGCTACGATATGTAGACACGAGTACAAACCCCCAACGTCTGCAACGAAACACCTTCCTCCCCATCTCTCTCGCTCTCTCACACACGCATGGGTATCTGTCTCTCCTCTCAGAACACACAAACAGATCATGGCGGAAGAGATGTAAGTCTGAGATGGTCATCGACGGTAAAGGTCATACGAACGGACGGTCGTTTACAAGAGTATAAGCAACCCATCACCGCCGGGAAAATCACCGGCGAGAATCCAAACTGCTTCCTCTGCAGCTCAGAGTTCATGTCCATTGGCTCATGCGTACCCCAATTGCCCGAACACGAAGAATTGGGAACGAATCAGATTTATTTTGTCTTGCCTCTCTCTCAAACCCACCGTCCATTGTCCCTGAAGGAATTGTGTGCTCTGGCTATTAAGGCCAGTGCCTCTCTACCCAAACCCGACGCCGCCAAGTTTTCGTCGATCAGGTAAAGTCATCGTTCGTTTACTGTCCGATTGAATGTCCAGGGAGTGATTGAATTGATTGTATCGGCATTTAGATTGTGTTCAAAGTGATGATTAATTTTCCGATCGATGATCTGAATAACTGACTCTGATTGATTTTTGTAAGGCTAAAAATTGTGTGAAATGTATTCCTAACTTAGCTCTAACAGCTACTCAAAGACAATCTTTTAGGCCCAGACAATGAGAGATTAATCTCTCTAATTCTGTATGTCCTGTTTTTTTATCGAACTAACAAATGATTAGTCAAATACGCATAAATTGGCCGCACACTCCTGATGAACCAAGAAATCAGAAAAAAAAGTTGTGTGAAATGCTTGTAAAGAATCCATCAAGTGCTGAAGAGGCAGGATAGGTTTTGATGTCCCTCCAATAACCTTATGTATCTCTAATAATTATTTCTTGATTTCTTGTAAATTATTTATCAGAAATTCAAGTGAAATCAATTTTGTGGAAATGGGTCTTCTACTTTTTAATAGTGGATGATTTGTCGAAAAAATAAAGGAAAAAAATATTTAATTTTTTATTTTCTTGCCTTTTTTTTTTTTCCAAATACATATTTTCTCTAATTTAATAAAATTTCCATTCTTCTTGGCATTATGGTAGACGCTCATTGAGTTGGGGACAAGTTAATCAAACAATATAATATCAAAACACGTAACATAAATATATATATATATATATTAAAAATAAGTTACCAAAGGTGGTAACTAGTGTAGGAACTTACTGAGAAGTGTGTGATTATTCTATAGATATGAACTCGTTTCTTAATTTAACAATGCCTATGGTTGAATTNTATATATATATATATATATATATATATATATATATATATATATATATTAAAAATAAGTTATCAAAGTTGGTAACTAGTGTAGGAACTTACTGAGAAGTGTGTGATTATTCTATAGATATGAACTCGTTTCTTAATTTAACAATGCCTATGGTTGAATTAAAGATAATGGTGGGTCGCCATTAGAGTTGGACTTTTGGACTCTTGCAGATAAGCATAGGAGACAGTAAAGAAGAGGTATCCACTGTTTGAGTTATGCATGGCAGGTAGAAGCTGTGCTCGCAGGTCAAAGTTAGATTACCGGTCTTATTCCTTATTTTGAAGTTGGGAGTTAGAGTCTCTATTAGAATTTAGTAGTTGACCGTTATGTTAGGCTAGTTAAGTCTAATTTCGAGAGATATTTCAGGCGCGGTCAAGCGCATTATGATTTCACCGGTAAAGACTTATCGGGGTGATCGTTAGGTGCTCTTTCTTGTCTCTACCTTTTTTTTTATTTATCAAAAAAAAAAAAGAAAAAAAGATCACCTTGAGGTATGTTATGTACATTAAATTTATACACTAAATTACCTGCACTAAATAATGTGGCAACAACACATTCAATGGATGTGTAATAAATGTCAATAGATCCCACAGGTTCAATAACTCAGCATTATTTAGTACAAGAATTTGGTACACATAATATTACTAAGATCATGTAATCAAATCACCCAGAAGCTAGGGCACGACCCAATTGTTTATCAAATTTGCTATTTTTGATTGTTAATCTTAATGTATTGTCGTGACAATAATGATATATACACCATCTCATTTACATCATTTGATGTGATATAATCTCAACTATTAAATATTCAATGAGCTCAATAAAATTCATTAATCCAATGATTTTTATTGAGCGGTGCAAAGAGTATTGTTCTCGGGGATTTTAGAACATCTCCAATGATATTTGATAAAAAAGTTAAAATAGATAGCAAAACACTTTTTTTTTTAACAATTTCGAGTAGGACCACGTATTCTAGTAAAATAATAGTCTTTGCGGTCAATGCATTTAATGAAAATGGTACGTGTCATTTTGTTTATTTATTAATTATAAAAAATGAGACTGGGCTTTAACTCTTCAAACACAAAACGACTTAGAATTTGAGAGAGTAGTTGGTATAAGTCTAAATATTTTGTAACAAAAAAAAAACATAGAGAATCAAATTAAAACTCTGCATTTTAGTTAATATAGACCTGCGGGTCTATTCGAGTGGCTAATTACCTGCACTGTCTCCGGTACATTTTCAGATTGGGGTGTGTTAACGCCGGGTGTCTCTCTTAGCCCACAAAAATATACAAAGTTTGCAGATAGACCGCCGTGACGAATTGGTACTCCTCATTGTGTAGAAAAGCACCATCCCTAAATCCATACTTCAGAATACATAGAAAGATTCTTGGCCATTTGGATATTCAGAATAAAATTATTGACTTGGTCTTGTCTCTTTTTTAAATTCATCTTTTTCAAAAATGACTGAAGTTTGAATGGTGCATTCTCTATTTTCCAAGCTCCCAATCACAGCAAACTACTAATAAGCTGTAGTTATAGAATTAATGAGTTACGGGATTGTTGATGCCAAAAATTGGCCACTGAGCTCTAGGGGGAGTCCTTGCAAGAGAAGTTGAGGAGTAGAGGAGCTCGTGATCATATTTAGCTGGGAGTGAAAACTTACCTGAATCATCTCTAGATTGTCTTTTTTTATAAGCCAGGAGGTTGGACCGTTGTGGCGTACANAGTTACGGGATTGTTGATGCCAAAAATTGGCCACTGAGCTCTAGGGGGAGTCCTTGCAAGAGAAGTTGAGGAGTAGAGGAGCTCGTGATCATATTTAGCTGGGAGTGAAAACTTACCTGATTCATCTCTAGATTGTCTTTTTTTATAAGCCAGGAGGTTGGACCGTTGTGGCGTATAAATCTAAACTGAGTTTGAATTAGTCAAAAAGTGCTGAATTAGGATTCTGTTGGGTTGGGATACAGGTTTAACGAGTTGACGAGTCCGGAGCTAAGGATTAGACCTTGCCAAGCTATGAAGTTCGTTTGCTGGGCGATAGGGCTGATACTCGAACGAGCCCGAGTCAAATTCAAGTCAAACTTGAAAAACTTGTTTCTTAATCAAGCCTTAAAAATTGTTCAAGTTTGTTTCGTTTAAAAAACGAACCGAGCCAAAAACAAGTTGAGCCCGAGCCGAGCTTGTCGAGTTTGAGACAAGTTTGTAGGGCTTGTTTTTTTAAACAAGTCCAAAAACTTGTTCAAGTTCGGGTTAGTTTAGAAAACAAACCGAGTCTGAACAAGTAAAACCCGAGCCAAACTCAAGCCAAACTCGAGTAGTTCAGATTGATTAACAACCCTAGCTACAGAGCTCCACTGTCGAGCTCGTGCTTAATTTACTATTATCGACAACATAATTTATTTTTTATCAATATCGATATTAAACCATATTGTTTGTTACTTGTTACTGAAGGATATTACATATACAATCTAGTTTGGTAATGCTTTGTCAAAGCAAATTTTTTAGATATAAATAATTTGCTATAATAATAAAAAAAAATTGAAAATTAAGCATTTGATAAACGTGGTCTCTATTAATCTTGATATTATTGAGCAGACCCACATGAATATATATATAAGCGTAGAAAAGGAAAAAAATGAAAAAATAAATATGCAAAAACAAAAGTTATATAAAAAAATATTACCAAACACTAACTTACCTATGAATCGAAGATGAAATCGCAGGTATTGAAACCAGATTTTACATGGTTATGGAATTGCGTTTAGTTGTGGGCTGAGATTCAGGCCCTAAATTTCGACCCAAATTCAAAGAATGCAAACGTGTACGTTTAAAGGGTAGACCACATTACAATAGTCATTAGGGTCCTAATAAGTGGGAAAATAATGTTGTAAAGCCCTTGGGCCTCCCTCTCTCTTTCTCTGTCTTTCCCAACCCCGACCCACCGAACTTATGAGCATCATCAAATCTCATGTTGATCGGAGGCCAGAGCCCACACCAAAAATCAAGTATGGACCATCTCATCAGTATCCAAAGGTGGTGTTTTTTTTGGCCACCGGAAATCTCTGGTCTGTCCCTGCACTGCACATGTTGTTCAGGTTTATGAATTTAATTGGAACTGAGGATAAATTTTAGATGTACGAACTGATCTTTCAATTTATACTCTAAGACACGTGAATTCGAATCTACACCATAAATTTAGATAAATTTCTCTAAATAATTGAGTATTATCTTACCAACCAATCATTTTTTTTTTTTTATCGCTGAAAGACTTAAATTTCTACCCTGGTAAAATTTTGACAGGACAAAGGGTATCTTTGAGTTAAAACCCATTGGTTAGTTTTCAAAGTTGACACTTCACGTGGGCGTTAATAAAGCATATCACGTGCTCACAGTCACTCACCAGTCACCCCCCACCATCCACCAGTAAAGGTCAAACAGAAGTTACAGAACCACGTCTTCTTGCTTCTTTTCACAGGCAAACTCGGAATGATCACGTGCTAATATCTTGGGAATACCCTCGGTTTTCCATAATCTTTGGCTTCATTCAATCATTCTCACCAGATTTTATCGTACTTAGGAGACTTTATTGACCAAACAAACCCCTAAGATCTCCAACCTGATTAATTCACAAGTTAAGCCTACCAAATATATGACACTGTTATGTTTTTGTACCGGATCAAATTTATTCCCTTCATATTCTGACTTATTCACAATCCTGTTTATCATTCAGATTGATCTAAATACAAAAAAAATTATTATTTATGAATACTTTAGTTTCAACGTAAATAACTTGTCTATAATCAAAACAAAAATTAAAATTTGTATAAATTAATCCCAACATCTTTACAATAAAAAAGAAAAGAAAAGAAAAGGACAGATGAGTAAAATCAGATTGCCATCACATCTGTTATCTATAAATGAGTCCAACCTTTCCCCAACTGACCATCCGAAGCGTGAAAAACTAAGCTGAAAAAATGAGAATAGTCTTCATAGCACTCATATCTCTGGCAATATGCCACAGCTCAGCACAGAGTGTACCACCGCCGGCAGCCACCCCAACCCCGGCGGCACCACCCAATACTACCCAAGAGTATTTAGACGTGCACAACCAAGCAAGGGCTGAAGTGGGTGTTGCCCCTCTCAAGTGGAGCCAGAACCTAGCCAATGCCACAAGCCTACTCGTTCGATACCAAAGAAATCAACAAAATTGCAGTTTCGCAAACTTAACGAGCGGTAAGTACGGTGGGAATCAATTATGGGCGAGTGGGATGGCCGTGCCGCCTCGCACGGCGGTGGAGGCTTGGGTGGCGGAGAAGAAGTTCTACAACTACGCCAACAATTCATGTGAAACGGGCCACCAATGCGGTGTCTATACACAAGTGGTGTGGAGGAAGTCATTGGAGCTGGGGTGTGCGCAAGCTACATGTGCCAAAGATGTTGCTAGTTTGACCATATGCTTCTACAATCCGCCTGGTAATGTTGTAGGAGAGAAGCCCTATTAGATTATCAGGTTTGGTTTTACATCAAACATATGGTGTGCGAGTGAATCGTTTTGTAATACATTGACTTATGTTAGTTGTCCTTCTTTTGGTTTTGTGGCTTTGGTTGGTAGGGTTTCTATTAGTGTTTGTTGAGTGTGGTTGTGATTCATAATAGGGCAAATGGTAGTTTGCACCCCAAAAGATTTAAAAATTCTTAATTTACACTCTCAAAAATTAATTATTTTAAATTGCGCCTTCAATTAAATTAATTGATAGCAATGTGACCCCAATCATAACGTCTGTTGCGATTTTCATTAAATTAATAGCCATGTGAGACTCACATGAAAAGGGAAACAGATATAATCTAACAAAAATCATCACGTGTATTTTACATTACTGTCAATTTGACAAAAATTGCAATCTTAACTATAACATCTATGACAATTTTTATTATATTAACAAGCACGCGAGACACACTGGTAAAGGAGAAGCGCCATAAGTCGACAAAAGTACAAAAGTCATTACATGGCCGACAATTTGATGAAAATCACAATGAACATTATGGTTGAGGTCACATTACTACTAATTAATTTAATTGATGGTGCAATTTAAAACAATTGATTTTTAAGGGTTCAAATTGAATTTTTTTTTTTTTTTTTGGGGGGGGTGGGGGAGGCGCAAACTACTATTTACCCCTTCATAATATTGTCGGTGACCAGGTTAGTAGCTATTTTTTTTGAGTGAGACCCTATTACAAGTGGGAGGCAGACACTAGGTTTAAACCTGCAACATTAAGATCTAATATAAAATTAGTGACACTGATTGGTAATTTTTGACACAATCATACAATTTATGAAAACGAATAATAATCGTATCAAGTTGTTGCCAAAGATGAATGACACAAATTTGATATACAAAGGTCAGTTGCACAGTAAAACTCTTCACAGCAAGCCTTACAACATCAAAGACACTTCCCATTACAGGACAGAGCAAAATGGAGATTATATTATACAAAAAATTACTAAATATAGGCCATGCCAAACCACCCTTCATATTTGGATCCATAATCTATTTCATTTTGTACAAAAGAGGAAAAAAAAAGCTCTACGAAAAGTAAAGAAGATTGAAGGGGACAATGCAAATCACCTCATGTGCTGGGGAAATAACCCCCTGCAAGCAATCACTTAACCAGCTCCTTTGATATGAGATACCTGAAAGTAAAATTATGAGGAAGCCATTCAATGCTCTTTCGGGATTTCGCCTGCTGACATTTCTTTATACTCTTCCTCAGAGATTCAGGTAAAGATTGTTGGAGCATCTCCATCACACCAGCTGGACACAAACGCGAATCTTTGGCGAAGGACTCGACGATCTTTGGCAATAAGATCTTCTGGTCCTTCCGTACACCAAATGTAGCCCGAATGTACTCATCTTTTGCAGCTTCCAGCTCTTGAAATACTTTCTTGGGTGTGTAAACACGCACCTGAAAATGAACAGAAGACATTGGGGGTCACGCAAATAAGAACTAACAATAGAAGTGATATTACATCGTCAATCCATTTTTCATATATTCACTCCATTTTCATCATATGTCCTTCAACCTTAGTGTATTAGTGTGGCTAGTTAAATTGAAAACAATGTATAATCTATGAACCAATGTCATATACTGGGAGTCCTGAGTAATTTCTGCTTTGGAAAACTCATTGCCAGTCCCCACAGAACATTGCCAAGCACCACATGTGATATTGTGAGGAATTCGAAAGCTTGATGCCTATTTTAAGCAGCAGTTCAGAGTATGCGAGGGATGGATGTGATCCTTCAGTAGTTTTTAGCAATTACAAAGAATTGCTGGTCACTTTTTTTGTTTAATGAACACACACAAGGGGATACATGCATATTTTGAACATATTTTACCCAACATCATACTGTAGTCGCAAAAGCCCGAGAAGGCTAATACACCTAAGTCTAAACACCACCTCCAAAAAGGGCCTAATCTTTGGAGGAGTGGATGGGAGTTTATCAATTAACCTCAACCTCTTGCCGCAACCAATGTGGAATTTCTGGTCACTTTAGTGATTCATCAACATGGCCAATTTAGAAGGATACTCAAAGGTATTACCAAAGCTGCAAGAGGTTGCATACAAAGCAGCATTACTGGTACGAATTATTTTTTGAAAAACAGATTATGAATAAGTACCGCAGGATCAGAATGGCTTCCTGAACAGAGTGCAAAGTGCAGAAGAGGTTCTGGATGATTAATTGTGTATGCTTGCCTTGCATCTCCTGCTCTAAATTTCATTCTGGAAGAAAGCAACACACGTAGCCACTACAAACAAAAGCAAACATCATGCGCATCACCAAAAATATGAAAGTCAATTTAAATTTACCGAAGCAAATAGGGGGAAAAAACCTCTACTCGGGTTTGTCTCTAAATTTACTTCAAACTTATTTTGACAATGCTTGGCTAGGGGCCAGAAGCACCCGGCAGGGAGGTGGGGAATGGAGGCAGCAGCAGGGATAAGTTTAGACTCTATTCTGGAAAAGGAAATGAAGAGAAAAAATTGACCATAAAAGGTTTTCGTGACTGCTTATAGGGTTTTGGCCCAGTATCACATCGTGGGACTCAACCATACACGCAAATCATGTAACTTTGAGGATAACTGCTTATAAGGATTCTCAAAGTCTGTATCAAATGACTCTTAACATAGACATTCCAAAAAATACGGCGTACCATCTACCTGTCCAGGACGAGACATTCGACATCCCAGAATAGAGCTCTGTATTACATCACCACTTACAACGTGACCTCCAATATTGTAGGCAGCCTGGGTTAAACAGAAGTGTAAGGAAATTGTTCTTGGAATTGAATTCCTATTTAGGGTAACCAATGAGATACTTCTTACCTTTAAAAGTAGAAATACTCTCTTTACATTGTTTTGAGGTATTCCATATGCCAAATATGCCTGTTGAAAAACAAGAAACATCTTGTATCAGTACATATCAGAGATGGACCTGTTTAAAGGTGATAACACTGTGTTTATCGACAAGCGTTATTACATGCATCACCAAGGCATTGTGTACGTTGATCCAGAACGCCAGCTTTTCCTCATGTTTCAGTATCCTGGGATCTATTTCTTCTAATCGAGAAATAAGCAACCTACAATATAACAATAGGCATGAACCTTACTGATGGAAACTACATGTCCAAATGAGCTTATGTTATGCTTAAGATCCCTCATATCATCATATTATAACAAAAAAAGAAGCCACAAAAGCTCACCTGAAATTTTGTAACATGTGTTCAATATCACCCAATTTCTGACTATCTCTATGAAGACAATGGACTTCAACCATTGTGCTGTATGGTCCACTGAACTCCATCAGACCTTCAACATGGAAAGGGTTATCTAACCGCACATCAAAGGATGAATCTTTCTTAAACCCTGGACTCCACATGTCATACTGATCTTTTGGAGAAAATGCAGCCATTGAAGACAAAGATGAACTGGGAGATGACAGGCCATGATTCGTAAGACGGGGGTCAGCAAGCTTGCAATATATCACTGACATACACTTGATCATTTCCTCAGAAAGCTTATTTGGTGTATCTGGAACATGATCAGAAATACGGGTACCAAGATGCTCAGCCAAACTGATTACGTTTGAAGAAGCATTCTGTGCAAACTGTAGAGAAACCATCACAAGTCAAGACCCACATAAGCCATTAATAATTCTAATCGACAATGAACTAAACTCCTCTAAAATCTTTTTTCCCATGACCTGCAATTCCAAGGCAGTGCCAATAACAGAGCTCCAAATCAGGATAGAGATGGAGCATCCTAAGTTTATTGACACCTCAACCCACCCCCCTCCAACCAAAAAAAAATGTGGACAAGGCATGCCAGGTAAGAAATTGACCGATAAAAATGAAAGGAAAGACAACACAAGGTAACACCTTTCATGGGGTAATATGAAACCTTGTGACTGGCAAATGTGTATGGAAGTCAAATACATCTGATAAAATTTCCAAGATGAAGTAATAAAATTTAAGTTACCTCTATCATGGACAAAGGTTGGGAATGACAGGCACGTAGAGCTTTATCCAGAGACTCTGCCGGAGGAGAAGTTCTGGATGAAAGAGCAGAACGTTGAGATAGTGCCGAGTGACATCGATAAACGCCAGAATCTAATAGCTTCTCTTCTCCACCTAGACCATTGGACTCCTTCAATGAATTAGGAAGGGACCGACAATCAGCTTGAACTGCTGCATTTCCCCTTTCCAAAGTCATATCAGGTCTGCAGACTTCTAGATATCTCCCTCTTGGGGTAGTCACAGGTGACCTTGATTTTTCATGCTTTGTAGATGGAGATAAGGAGGGAATTTGATCATCAAATGCTTTCCGGTACAATGAGAGAAGATGTTGTTCCAAATGCACAACTTCCAACTCTAGCACTGCGATTTCTTTTATCAGTTCTGTGGCCGGCTGGTTTCCAACACAAACATTGTTCAATGCAATGACTAGGAGATAGTGCTAATAAAGCANTTTCCTCATGTTTCAGTATCCTGGGATCTATTTCTTCTAATCGAGAAATAAGCAACCTACAATATAACAATAGGCATGAACCTTACTGATGGAAACTACATGTCCAAATGAGCTTATGTTATGCTTAAGATCCCTCATATCATCATATTATAACAAAAAAAGAAGCCACAAAAGCTCACCTGAAATTTTGTAACATGTGTTCAATATCACCCAATTTCTGACTATCTCTATGAAGACAATGGACTTCAACCATTGTGCTGTATGGTCCACTGAACTCCATCAGACCTTCAACATGGAAAGGGTTATCTAACCGCACATCAAAGGATGAATCTTTCTTAAACCCTGGACTCCACATGTCATACTGATCTTTTGGAGAAAATGCAGCCATTGAAGACAAAGATGAACTGGGAGATGACAGGCCATGATTCGTAAGACGGGGGTCAGCAAGCTTGCAATATATCACTGACATACACTTGATCATTTCCTCAGAAAGCTTATTTGGTGTATCTGGAACATGATCAGAAATACGGGTACCAAGATGCTCAGCCAAACTGATTACGTTTGAAGAAGCATTCTGTGCAAACTGTAGAGAAACCATCACAAGTCAAGACCCACATAAGCCATTAATAATTCTAATCGACAATGAACTAAACTCCTCTAAAATCTTTTTTCCCATGACCTGCAATTCCAAGGCAGTGCCAATAACAGAGCTCCAAATCAGGATAGAGATGGAGCATCCTAAGTTTATTGACACCTCAACCCACCCCCCTCCAACCAAAAAAAAATGTGGACAAGGCATGCCAGGTAAGAAATTGACCGATAAAAATGAAAGGAAAGACAACACAAGGTAACACCTTTCATGGGGTAATATGAAACCTTGTGACTGGCAAATGTGTATGGAAGTCAAATACATCTGATAAAATTTCCAAGATGAAGTAATAAAATTTAAGTTACCTCTATCATGGACAAAGGTTGGGAATGACAGGCACGTAGAGCTTTATCCAGAGACTCTGCCGGAGGAGAAGTTCTGGATGAAAGAGCAGAACGTTGAGATAGTGCCGAGTGACATCGATAAACGCCAGAATCTAATAGCTTCTCTTCTCCACCTAGACCATTGGACTCCTTCAATGAATTAGGAAGGGACCGACAATCAGCTTGAACTGCTGCATTTCCCCTTTCCAAAGTCATATCAGGTCTGCAGACTTCTAGATATCTCCCTCTTGGGGTAGTCACAGGTGACCTTGATTTTTCATGCTTTGTAGATGGAGATAAGGAGGGAATTTGATCATCAAATGCTTTCCGGTACAATGAGAGAAGATGTTGTTCCAAATGCACAACTTCCAACTCTAGCACTGCGATTTCTTTTATCAGTTCTGTGGCCGGCTGGTTTCCAACACAAACATTGTTCAATGCAATGACTAGGAGATAGTGCTAATAAAGCAAGATAGTAACAGTACTGATAATGGCTAACACCAGAATATACAGATTTTTTTTTTTAAGGTTAAGTAGAATCTAGGACAAATTAAGCTTGCTTCTTCAATATAATAAGATATATCAGACAGATACAGGATCTAAAACAGCCAGTTTTATTTGCGAAAGGAATAACAAACTCACACCCACATAAGCCAAACCAAACTTATGTTTCAATTTTCTATACAAGCAAGAGGAATAATTTCAAATGCACAAATGGGGCCATTATCTGTTTCCATAACATAAAAGACAGAAATCAGCTACCTTAGGCATTGAGATTTCAGTTGTGAAATCATGGGAGGAAGGCCTATAACCCAATGCTTTTTCTAAAGAACAGTGTAACATAACTTGGTCCTGTAATCTTCCCTCAAGCTGCAGTATCTGCTTAGAAGATAAAAGAAATTACTAAATAATATTCTAAAAAAGATGGAACCAATATGTACTTCACTATACATGAAGTAAGTCAAGCCATTGGCAAGGAATTAGGTTGGTTTGAGCTTCGGAAATTTTCCTTTTTTCAAATATTTTGATACTGACAGTCATTGTATCGTACATCATTTGCTATAAAAAAAAATCCACTTAAATGTGACAGAAATGTCTAAATAATGGATGTCTAGATGTAAGAGACTATTAATGTACCTCTTCTCTCAAAGAATTTTGCTCTGCATTTGGTGATTGTTTCTTCTTGGTCTTAACACAGTCCTTCACGTTCCCCACATCCTGGTACCAAAACAAACCTTTGTTAGTAGGAACACAAGATCTGCTATTTGGTATCCTCCAAAACTGATGCATTCAATCTGAAAATGATCAAAGTGAAAACATGATCGCAAAGATAATAAATAACACATCATCATAGCAATGTTGTGGCTAGCACCGTGCTCAAGGGTCTAATAGTTTATAGACAAAGCAAACGGTCAAGAAAATTACAAGCCAATGAGGCCATGATGTTGCAAGTTAGATTCCTTCTATTTATCTTCTTTTTTTTTTCGACTTTCCACTTTCTTCTTTTTCTTTTGTCCTTTTGCCCTGAGATTTAGCTCTTCCAAATGAACAGTTTCTTAGGATGTCAAAAGCAGAGGGGCATAGAAAAGTGTTCTTACCAACTTTAAATGGTGAGAAGCTTCATGTGAATGACCTGAGTGATCTTCCTCGACTCCTTTCTTATCAGGAAAGCTGCCATTGAAGAACCACAACATACAATAATTAGAAATTATACGACGGTAACTTTGGCCCCTTCAAATCTACATTTCACCCTCGCACAAGATCAAGTTTTATAAATAAATTCAATACTTTGATTTATTGCAAGAAAGCTAGTGGAACCTTATAGCACTCACTTTCCCACAATTCCACCAGAAACGCTTACTAATTGAAACCAACAACCTCATTAACCAGCTAATCACTCACATTATTCGAAGGTATAGAACTTCAAGAACAAAAAACACAGATTATAAGCAAAGAACCCCTGAGAATCAAGGCTTAAAAAACCCAGAATCAATCATTCGCAAATGGTCCAATGAACAACTATCATCTCCCCTTACCATTGTCGCCACAAATACCTGAGAATTTTCCACAATTGCGAGTAATGATTCACCGCAACTACGAAAATAGCACCACTAGGAACTACTAAGATGGAAATATATGTCTTGGTAGCGTTGTCAGTAGTGACAATGACTGACTAGCTCTGAAAATTCTACTTTCCAATTTCCCTAATTACCCAGTTCAGAAGTCTTTCAATTTGGAGAAACCCATCAAGTTCAAATACGAAAAACTGAAAAGAGAAAGGTAACCAAGTAAGAAGAAATCCAATGGCTACCTCTTAGAACGCTTGTGCCTAGCTGTTCCTCCCAGTCCAAGCATTTTACTAACGCCATACCCTTCAAAACCCATCTCTGCAAAATCAATTCAAAAACACAGCTATTTCAGCAACTTTCACCTCCTAACAATAAGGAGAAAGATGTACAAGAACACATCCAAAACAGAGCAGAGAAGACTTACCATCACACTCTATTTTGACGAAACCAGCGAGTACCCAAATGCGTTGTTCCGAAGATGAACCAGACCCACAAGTCCAAATGACCAAATAGGTCCTCAAAAACTTCTAATACGAGTCAAAATCCACACCTGTCTTCTTGCATTACAATACCCAGTACTGGTACTAGTGATCAATTGATGGCTAGCTGTGAAACAGAGTCTGCTATTAACAGAGCTCATGTATTTAAGCAAAAACTAATAATAATAAGAATAACAAAGCTACAATAAACCCACAAAAAAGGGCTAAGAAAAGGTGACCCTTTTGACCAGTGCGCCTTCTACAGTTTTATGCCGAGAGACACACGCAAATCTGTTAGCTTTTGGGCAATGGAGGGTCTTTTGCCATTAAAAGAAGTTAAAACAGTCCAGGGTTTTCAGTTGCAAGAAAGTCTCCTCCTAGACCCCTCCATGGATTTTTAGGTACTATACCTAGACCCCTCAATGTCAAAGGTTTATTTTTTTTGTTATTTTATCCATAAAGGAACTTTAATTAGAAAATAATATGTTTCAGTCTGTTTTGTTATTAGTATTCATATTCCATGTCTATTTTTAGTTATTTTTCATATTTTTAAGACTTTTTAATATAAATAGGATGATAAATCAGAAGACAAATAGACCTACCTATCTTTTCATCATTAATCTCTCAAAAACTCTCCTCTTTTTTCATGGTGATGGGTTCTAAGATTTTTTTTAAAATCAGGTTACAAGGATTTGGTGGGTGTTAAGATATTTACAATATTAATTATCGAAAACACAAAATAAAAAATAAAAAAATTGTGTCTAATATCAACCCTATCCCCACATCCTTTATTCTTGTTGACAAGCAAGTGGGAGTTGGTGACCTTCCCACCACCCGCTGTCCCATATAGCCACTCTTTGAATTTTTTTTTTTTTTTGAGTAATTATAATAAACTATTAGGTTGTGTTTGTTTTATGTATATTATGAGATGAAATTGGAGATTTGATTCCAAACTAATTTGTACGGATAGTAACAATTGGTGTACCATTTTATCCTATTACACTTTAATTACATTTAGACCATTGATTAAACAAGAGTTTGAATATGAGATTAAAGTATGATATTATTATTAATTGTAAAAAAGATGAAAGTACTCTTGACTTATATGGTATTATATAGTGTTACGTTGTTGATACTAACAAATTCAATAAAGCCGTCTTGTACTTAATAAGTCTAATCTCACCTTATAATACCCGAACCAAACAAAACTAAGGTCTTCAAAATGGGTGCATGCTAGTGGTACAAAATATGGCCCCATTAATCGAAATTGGTCATGGCTGTGTGTGGGTTAACTGAGGTTACTAGGCTAGCAGAAAAGCAGGGTGGTTACCTAAAAAGAGATGAAAGGTAAGGTTGGCTAAAGGAAACATAGGATGCTTAAAAGGAAATTACGGTTTTGGTGGGGTTTCTTTAGTCTACCCCCTCCCCCCCTCTCTCTCTCTCTCTCTCTCTCCCTCTTTTCTCATAAAGATTAGGAGACGATGGATACCCACATTGTCCTCCAGTATCAAAGAGACTAACGTTTGTCAAAGAATCCATAATTAAAATATAGTGGTTATGGGCCTTGACCTTTTCCAAGATCGATACAAAAGAAACACTTGTGTGGTAACTGCTAGGGTAGTCAGCCTTCTCTGTTTTGAGCAAATATTTAATATAACGGTGACATTATATCAACATTGATAATGGTATCATCAATCAATAATAAAATTTTAAATGAGCAAAATGATTTTTCCACTTAGATAGTTATTGACATACATGAAAAAAGAATGAGTAATTATTAGCTTACATGAACAGATAATTATTGACTTGTATAAGATAAGTTTTGTATCACCGTTGTAATGAATTTTGTTTTTTCTTTTTGTCATGATGTATATACCTTGTGAGAAAAAAAAAATTTACAGCTCAAAACCGCACACACAAAAAGAGAGATAGAGAGAGAGAGAGAGAGAGAGAGTATTTCTTTAAAAGAAAGCCCTCTATATTGGATTGTGCAGAAAATCCCAAAAGTTTATTATAAGCATAAGACTAAAAAAATTATGCATTACCCTTTTAAATTGGAATCTGCAGAAAAGCACAAAAGTTTATCATAAAGAAGACCACTAAAGTATATTATTTATAACTAGGGGTAGGAATGGATTAGATAAGGGTCACATTGTTTAACAAATTAGATACATATGTTACATCATTTTATATAGTTTAAGTTCTTCAACTCAGTATTTCTACTCTAAAACTATGAATCAATAAGTGTTTTAAAAGTTTAAGTTATTAAATAGAGGGGTGTAACAAAAAGATTTATCAATTACTTTTGAATAATTAGCTAATGGTTTCCTTTTTCTCCAAATCACGACATTGGTTTTGCTTATTACTCTCAACAAGAAATGAAAATTTGTGTTCACGTAAGATAAACAATGAAACTTTTTTTTTTTGGTTCAATGGTCAAGAGTTTTTGAGTCAGTTTATGCACACCTTAACTAATCCCCTTTTTGAACCAGTCAAAGCAGGTTATCAATATCGGGACTAGATAATTCATGAGGGATAAATCTTTCCTATGAAACTTCTATCTTAATACGAGTAATTTAGATAAATAGTTCCTAAAGTTTCCACTTAAATAATATCACAAAGGAGCAAGTGAAGATCCAATTTTCAAATGAAATTGACGGACATGCATGCTTTGTGGGTTCATTAATAATTTATCTGTATTAAAAAAAATTATAATATGGTAAGAAAGAATCAATTAAATGAGGTGCCTACAAGTAAATATGGGCTGGTTATAATTCAATTGGTATTAAGCTACGGCTAAAAGGGATATATTACAATTCAATAGTGTCTAAGTTATAGTTTAGAAAAGTTGAGATCGATCTTCATGACTAAAATAAAATCGGGATTAATCTTGCAATGTTAGGGTCAATCCTAATATATTTGGATAAATCACAAATAAATTTTTTTTAAGTCATATAATTAAATCATAATATCACCTATTCAAGAGTTGACAAACACAACATTTGATGATAAACGTCCGTTGGCGTAGATAGAGACTGATATATATCTATGTTTATATGTATGTTGATAATGATAGGATTTTGGCATGGACTGTCCATCCAAAATTCAAAGCATTCAATCGGCCTAATGGTTACATGAGCACCCAAGTGACCCCTTCGCAGCCTATCTGCTTTGTAATATGAATGGACTGTAATCCAAATATGGGAGTCCAACAAAGCTCAGGTCGACACAATTCTGTTTGGTCATGACAAGTTCAACAATAAGCAACCCGAGAGCAGGGAGCTCGGTATTTGCCAAATCCTGAACACCTTCCATCACGCCACGTGTCCAAGGGACAAGAGGATAGTTTCTGAAGTCACTCATGAACGTGCACTCATTGATAAAGGGAATATTTGTGCACATTTCGTTGAAGGACCATGGACATGATTTGTGTCATGATAACGACTATCACTACAAGACAAAGAGGAGGGAACCACAGGATTAGCCAAATGAAAGAGAAAATCATAAAAAATCCTAGAAAATTACTTGTATAAATAGAACATCATCACATTATGTAAAAAAGATATCAAAAAACCTATACTCACAAATCACCGTTCACACTAGCTCTAAGTTAAGACACTTATTGTAATCTTCTTCTTCAAGCAATACAAATCCTACGGAGCAAGATCTTCCATTACAGTAGACATAACCCTGATCTTTCGGTTAGGGTGAATCACTTATATATTGTCTTTAATCCAACTTTGTCATCCATTTTTCTTTGTTAACTTAGAGATTTACACTACCCCACCTTATTAAACATTGTTCTATATTTGGTCTAAGCATTTTCAAGCACTATCGTATGTGAATAATATGTAGAGTTTGTTCATATATAGGTGGGTGAGGAATTGAGAGAAGGGTTTGTAAGATTGGAAAACGCATAGAATCCCAACAAGTAGACAGAAAAAGAGAATTTTCCAAAGGCATTTGGACAAATGAGCCAATGCCAATCATATATGCATGCAAACAGGCATCTGTCGTGTCATTTCAAGTGGGATTCACTTTATTTATTTGTAAGTTTATTATTAGAGAGTGACACCACGTGTTAATAATAACATAATGTCACCGATACACCCAATATTTTCGCATGTTCCTGATTGGATTAATAGTCAAAATAGCAACCACCACCTTGTCTGCCATTACATCTACAACATACGCACACAATATTTAGTTTTTTGAAATTTCTTCTTGGATATTTGATGGATTTGACTACCAACGTTTGTTTATCTTTTGAAGTGGGCTCACCTTGGGTTTATTTTCTAAATTGCAACGATTCGATGTGATTTGAATGGGTTGGAAGAGGTCTATTAACTTGAGAACAAAGTTAAGAACTTAATTGCTAGACAATAATAAGATGTACATCACCTTTGTGCATTATCTTATCTATACTATTTAATATGGCGTGATCTCAATCATTAAATATTCAGTGAATTCAATAAGACTCAATAATTTAATGGTTCATATTGAGATAATACACAAAAATTTCATAACATTGTTGATTGCACAATTCGTTATAAAAAAAGAATGGGAAAGAAGGAGCCTCCTAACTTCTATCAGTTTTCTCTAATCGAGATGAAAATAAAACCAAAGATAATATTTTTTTATATTTGCCTGTGTGTATATCATTTCACTGCATTTAAATTGCAAAAAAATATAATTTTTATTTTGGAATATGATGGGATTGTATGCATGGATGATGCCATTAACAAATTTGATCCCTTTTCGTACACTTTTTTTTTTTAATTTCTCACAAATAGTAGATTGAGAGATATAGTCTATATAGAGTAGCACTAAAGTTGATGTCCCACTAATATAGATCGACCATTGAGAGAGTGTATTAGGTTAGTTGATAAACTCCCACCCACTAGACTATTTTGGAGGTGTTAACGTGTAATTGAGTTGGTCTTTGTGTGTTTCCGTAATTTACTGTTGATGTTGGGAAAATAGTTATAAAAAAGAAGAGATTAGGATTCTACAATTGATGTGTTTGGGCCTCTAAGCAAGACATCCCTTGGGCCTTGAGTGTTTGAACTCTCTCTCTCTCTCTCTCGCCTGTCTACACTATTTCTTGACTGAATTGAGGGGCCCAAATACCCTCACCAGTATAAATGCTTCAATTATCGCAACTGATGAAACTGGCCGTGGCGTGAGGCATTTGGTTTACTAAACCAACAGCCTTTTTCCGATCCACGGTTTCTTCTTCTTTATCGTGGTCTTAAAGAACCAAAAGGAAGAATGTTGCTCACTTCTGGCCACCGTTGGCACTCCATGCTTGTGGCATTGAGGGTCACATTTTCTAAGCGTTATGAGATACCATATTATCGGGTTGATACATCTCGTTATATTGAATGAATGACTTGATAATAGACTGGAATTATCAACACAACCAATGGCAGTGTAACAACAAATATTAAAGAAAAGGACTTTCATTTCAAGGAAATTAAATACTTCCTTGCATAAATTGAGCTCAATCCCCAAACATTGAGAAAGTGAACATTCTTGTAATGATACTTGAGCTGACAATTGGGTCTTTTTTTCATCAAAACTTCATCTCTCTTTTCTGGAAAACAAAGAATAGAAAGGAGATTCCATAACTGAAGCTCACTAACATTGCCATTCCTGTCCACAAGTAACCACCAATTTAAAGTTAATAACCTCAAATCTCACGTTTTAATGTGTCAAAATATAAGAAAGATTTGGATTCTTTCTGACATTTTCTCCCTTTGTTTTTTTTGAATGTAGGTTAGACACAATTTATAAGTAAGTCTCTCGGTAATATCGGATGTAATTTGGATTCATATTGGAAATAGT